CAAGAAAAAAAATCCAACAACCCTATCAAAAAGTGGGCAAAAGACATGAACAGAAACTTTTCAAAAGAAGACAGACTAATGGCCAAGAAACATATGAGAGTTCTTATTTTTCTACAAGCTCAGCAGCATTTGATTATGTCCATGTTCTTAATTTTGCCATTTTAATAGATATGTAGTAGTATTTCACTTTTTTAAATTTGCATTTCCCTGATGACATATGATGTGGAGCATCTTTTTTTGTGCTTATTTCCCATGTGTATATCTTTTCTGAAAAGGTGTTTATTAAGATGTTTGAAGTCAGGAAGACTGATGCCTCCTAGTTTGTTCTTTTTACTTAAGATTGCTTTGGGTATATGTGTTTTTTTTCTGGTTCCATGCAACCTGAAGAATTATTTTTTCTAGATGTGTAAAGAAGGATGATGGTACTTTGATGGGGATTGCATTTATTCTGTAGATGACTTTAGGTAATATTGACAGTTTAATGATATTGATTCTACCAATACACAAACAAGGTAGATTATTCCATCTGTTTATATCTTCCACAATTTCATTTTTTAGCATTCCATAGTTAACTTGTATAAGTCTTTTGTGTCTTTAGTTAAATATATTCTTAGATATTTAATTTTCCTTGGGGCAATACCTAAAAGGTATTGCGTTTTTGATTTGAGTTTCAGCTCGACAGTTATTGGCATATATGAATGTCTCTGATTTGTGTATATTGATTTTATAACCTGAGACTTTACTGAATTCATTTATCAAATCTAGGAGTCTCTTGGATGAATCCACGGGGTTCTCTAGATATAATATCATATCATCTGCGAAGAGCGAGAATTTGATCTCATCTGCCCCCACTTGGATGCCTGTAATACCCTTCTCTTGCCTGATTACTATAGCTGGGGCTTTGAGAACTATGTTGAAGAGAAGAAAAGATAGTGGGCATCCTTGTCTAACTCTGGTTTGAAGTGGGAATGGTTTCAACTTTTTCCCATTCAGTATGACATTGGCTGTGGGTTTGTCATAAATGGACTTGGTAATTTAAATCAGCATTTTACTGGCATAAGAACAGAAGCATTGATCTTTGAAATAGGACTGAGATTCTAGAGATGAAACCATCTGCATATGGTAACCTAATATTTGATAAAGTAAACAAAAATATACATTGAGGAAAAGAATCTCTTTTCAATACATGGTTTGGGAAAGCTGGATAGCTACATGCAGATGTATGAATCTGGATCCCTACCTCACACCTCTCACAAAAATCCATTTAAGATGGATAACAGACTTAAACCTAGGGCATGAAAGCTTCAAGTTTGGCCAACCCCTAGGCGGTGTGCACTGCACCCATTATGTATGTAAACACCCTTCCCCTCCTCCCCCCTCCCACCTGCCCATCTCCCGATAACAGGGTTTTTTTAGACATTTTAATTACACTGTATATCTTTGCCTCTCCCTAAAAAAGGTTAGAGGCAATCACTTCCCCCCACAATGCTTGCCACATCCCTAAGATGTGGGTCTCCCCCTCAAAATCCCTGGTGAATATTACCATTATTTGAGCACCATAGTTTTAATCAGTCAGTATCAATTTGATGGTGAGTAGATGTGTACAGGGGAAATATATGTAACCCTAACAATATTTGTACCCCCATAATATGAGAAAATAAAAGGAAAAAAAAAAGAATATTAGAAGAAGATGTTGGGAAATACCTTTCAGACATTGGCCTAGGCAAAGAATCCTTGAAGAAGAACCCAAAGCAATCACCACAGAAACAAAAATAAACAAATGGGATCTGATTACATTAAAAAGCATATTCACAGCCAAGGAAACTATCATTAGAGCAAATAGACAACCTGCAGAATGGAAGAAAATATTTGCTCTCTACACTTCCAATGAAGGTCTTATAACAAGAATCTCTCTAGAACTCAAAAGAATTAACAGGAAATAATCAAACGACCCCATCAATAAATGGGCAATGGAAATGAATAGAAACTTTTCCAAAGAAGATAGAATTATGGCCACCAAACATATAAAAAATGCTCAACATCTCTAATCATTAGAGAAATGCAAATCAAAACCACAATGAGATATCAACTAACCCCAGTGAAATTTGCCTGTATCAAGAAATCTCAATTCAATCTTCTGCATGTAGCTAAAAAATGCTCAATATCTCTCACCATTAGAGAAATGCAAATCAAAACCATAATGTGGGGGGGCGGAGCAAGATGGCGGACGAATAACACCACCAGACAGAGGGTCTCTGCAGAAAAGACAGATTCTAGCAGAAACTAGAGGAAAGAAGCAAGAAGACGAGCATACAGCGGACAAGGCCGGAGGAGGGGTACCTGAGACCCGGGAGACTCCACGGGAGGAGGCTGCGGAGGAACTGGAGGCTGAGACACCGGGGCAGCCGAGACAGCGGCAGGGGTAGTGATTTTGCTGTTTCCCTCCCTGCATTTGGACGCTGCGTGGCTCCAGCGGTGGCAGAGACATTGCGGACACCAGCCCAGAGATCGCCGCCGCCTGCCAATGGTGAGCCTGTAGCAGAAGTGGCACCAGGTTCCCAACTTCCTCCGGGCACCTCCATGTGCACGGACCCGAGCCATGCAGCAAGCGCCATATTGCCTCCTCCTCCCCTCCACCGACCCTACCCGCGGCTGCCCAGAGAGACAATACATCCACCAGCCGGAGGCACCTCCAGGGAAAGGGACCTTCCGGTTTGGGACCCCGCCCGCCCTCCCAGGTGCTGCTGGCACCGTGTTCCCAGGAAAACGGTGCCGACTCAGAGGCTGAGAGACATA